AAGCCATTATTATCGGCGCATTGCGTAGAAACATACATACATGCGACGTGTAATACTTTTTAGTTAGCTCGCGGCGGCCTTCGCAGTGACTTTAGCATGCAAATCAGAGACTGCGGTATGTGCCCGGTCGGGGCATCCCTCTGCATACCTTATCACCTGTTAACATCTCTCTCTATTCCGCTCCACGCAATCGTCCCACGCAAATGTCAGTCGGCGAGTCGACGAGCGATTTGACGACTGGCGATGCAGAGGAGCCGTGGATCTCAAAGAATCGTAGAATACGATCCGCTCGTTAAAACCGGCTGCACCGGCGACTTTTCAAGGTACCCGAGATTCCGATCATAAGCAGAAGTATTAAAATTACATTATAGCCAATTTGGCCTGGCTAGCGTCACACTAGCACTCGTCCTGGTGATCGGACGGACGCAGAAAAACGTCAGCATAAACGTTCTTTTTATTGGTTTCCGGTGCGAGTGATGAGCGCATTACGCGTTTAATATTAAAATTAGCACTTTTAAAGCGTCTGGATTAAAAATAGGACGCTAACATTATGTTTCGGGACGAGTGTGAACCTGCTCGACCTCTAGAAGAATTTTATCGTAAATAATGTTTCGCTCTCGCGAAAGATAGGGCATTCTTCTTCTTATGTGAATTCTAAATCGCGCGCGTAGCTTCTTTTACAATGATCCCTGTCTCGACGAGCGTGCATATGTCTCGATGTGATCGAAGATTTATATTAAAATCAGAGGTTTCTCGAAAAACTTGATATTTCCCTGCTCATTAATTTGATAGGAAAAGGAAAAAGTGATCGGCCATTGTTAACTGCCGCTTACAACGTGGAAAAGTTCGCTCGCGCAAAAAACTCGCAAAAAAGCCGTTCCTATTCTTGCGAAGAAAATATAGGATTACACTTCATTATCTTGCTAAAGTGTAAAATGTACCGTCGGCTGTGCCGTCGTCGTAAGCCGATCGTTATACTTCAAGTATACGTAAATATATTCCTGTAAATATATCCTTGTCAATAGCCGTGTCCGCCATCGCGCGGGACTATAAAAATTCTTTATGCTCACGCAAATCGTTAAAATTTAAAAATCATAAGAAATTAATAAAATGTAGTTCAAAAGAATTTGAAAAAGATCAGTAAATAAAATTCTTTGCAGCTCAGTTATTCTCTCGCAGAGTTGTTCTTGCGTAGAAATCAAAGTTCAAGTTACGAGGGAAGAATCGACTTCGCAAACGCACCACTTCACTTAATTCGAAATTGTAATAATGATAATGATGATTTTGGCATTCATGTTTAATACGCGAGTCGACATTAAATACGGAATAACAGATTTGTTAAAGATTAACGGCACAGTTAAATGAACTTGCAAACTCCGCGCTACACGCGTTTCCTTCTATATATATTCGCGGATGGAATTGTATTAGACTGCAATCTGGACCGTTACGATTGAACGCATAAAAGATCTCATATAAATCGTATAAAAAAGTGCTTTTGGTTAAATTGGTTGAAACTGTGTTATTTTATAAATTACAAGACGATCAAAAGTTGTCTTAAGCAAAAATATAAAAATGGATAGATTTGTGCTGTAATGCCATTTGAGACTCTTACAGAAATTTAATGCCAATACTAAAAAACAATTAATTATTTATTTTAAGTACTAAAAGCACTGTTGTTTAATACTTTTAGTACTTCAAATAAATAATTCATTACTGTTTCTTAGTAAAATGACCAGTATTAAATTAGCTAATATTAGATTTCTGTAAGGAAAATTGCTATTTTGAGTCTAATCGGACTGAAAAGTATCATTATCTGCTAAACTATTCATTTTTTGATAACTGATATCTTAATACTTCTATAAACAAAATAATAAGATAAATTAATTGATGTAAAGAAAATACATAATTGCTTTTAAAAAATGTAGTTTGCAAGTTCGTATATTGCAAATTGCATATTTTTTTGAAAAACGACTACATATTTTCTTTCAATTTAGCTTATTATTCTGTGCAAAAAGGGATTAAGATATAATTATCAAAAAAATGAATGATTTAACAAAGATACTTTCCTATTAGATCCAAAGTAACAACTTTCAAATGTTGCTACAGCAAAATCTGTCTATTTTTCTATGGTTTTGCTTAATCCTTCGTTCACACACAAGGGACAAAATGACCCCAACATTTTAATTGATTGCTGTATTTACAGGTTTTGTTCTTTAAAATTACAAAAATCACTGAACATACTTTAAACATTGTAAAATATGGAAATGCATGGCTTTTTAAAGAATTTTTAATTTTAACATATTTAAAAAAAAATCGCAAAAGCTAACATCTAAAGAACATGCGATTGAAGATGCAAAAAGGGTATTTTAAACTTCGAATAAATGACAGTTTAAGTCCCGTTTTAATAAAAGACCTTAGAAATAAGTCTCATATTTTTTTGGGGTCCTCTGGACTACAAAGACCACAAAGAGTTAAATAAATTTTTAATCAATATTTCATAATTTACAAAATATTACAATTTTATCTAATTTAATCGAAGCAACACATGATTTGTGCAACGATATAAGACATCTGTTTTAGGTAAAAAAGTAAAAAAGAAAAGGATATAAACCGTCTTTTCTTGAAACTTTATTTATCATACATAGAATTTGCGCTTTCTTATATTTAGAATGCGCGCTTGGATTAAACTCTAGGCATATATCCATTTGTCTTTTTCGAACACCAGCGCAACATTTCGCCTCTTTGCGGTTTTATGTCTTCCCTCTCCGTCCCCCCCCCCCATCACCACCATCGTCGTCGTTGTCGTCGTCGTCGTCATCGTCGTCGTCGTCGTCGTCGTCTTCGTCGTCATCGCCGTCGCACGATATCTTCGCGCGAATGTCAGCCGGTTGCAGTCGATGTAGAGGAGAGACGCGGGAAGAGATACCCCGTTAAAATTCAGCATTTCCGCGCGATGACACATCGGAAATTTTTGCAATATCTCAAATCGCGCGTCTTCCGTTACCTGCCCTGCCCCTCCATGTAGGGTCCTCTCCCTTAGTCCTCCGCGTTCTCCTTATCTCTTTTTCTCTTTTTCTCGTTCGCAATGCACCGCGCAATGCCTGAGTTCTGGCTCACAAGCGATGATTATGTTGCAGCGCGGGTTACCAATACGTGCGTTGTTATGCACATTGGTAACTCAACTCGTGACTCGCGATCTCGAATAGGCCCCTAGATTCGCGCTGGAACCTCTCAGGGAAATCCCTCCTCGGAAGACGCGCGTCTACGAGGAATTCGCTGTGAATCACCGCGCAACCGAAAGACCGTCCCAACATACGTCAGAGCTGCCGAGTGTGTAGCAACATTGAGGATTTCTTGCGGAAGAAGTACCTGCATTCGTCAGACCGATCGTCTATCCGCTAGGCTTCCTGACGTCGCGCCGGTGAAACCGACTCCTTCATGGAAAATGCGGGAAATCCTTAGAGTTGTCCTTATCAAAGAGAGAATCGAAGATCATAACAGATGTGACTTGTTGTAATATAGATGTGCATTTTTTTCGATGTAACGAAAATCAATAAGGAACATTAGAGTAAAAAATTATTTGGAAAAGTAGATAAAGGAAAAGGAATACTTAGGGAAAATAATATGAACAAGCATATGTAAATAAATAGGAGGGAAACATAGAGATTCCTTTTCTTTTCAGCACAGTTTTTTTTTAATTTAAATATTTCTTTTTGAATCAAATTAATTATAATTAAATTAATGATAATTAAAAATTAAAAAATTGCATAAAAAAATATATTTTTAAATTAAAATATTTTGTATGAACCGTTGGTCACAAGCAAAAACATAAACAATTCTTATATTCACGCCATTTTGATTCTGAAAAATTGAAGGATCATAGTTTTGAACATTTTTTTTATAATTTTAATATAATATAGGGAGCGTTTATAAAAAATACAAAAGAGATGCAGAATTATTACAGAAAAACATTTTTATTTTAATACTGTTTATCTTTCACTAAACCACAGCAGTATAATCTTTTACAGAAGTATAAAAAAGTACACGTGAGTGATAATTTTACAATTACAATTTTATATCGATATCAAATTATCGGTATTTAATACTGTTCGTCTCTTATTCCATAATACATATAAAAAAAATCGTAGAAAAATAAGCTAAAATTGCACATGTGAGACACTCACAAATAAGTTCCATGCAAATCACACGTTCGTGTATCTTAAATTACATCAGTCACATTATATGCCAATTAACATTATGTAAATTGCAACAAGTACACGCCTTCCGTCGCTCGTAATTATTTCAAAGCTTTTTGCTTATTTCTTTGCGAAAAAATCACTTTGATTGAATAGATTGAGAACAAATTGTCGTTACATGCTGCACATAAACAGTTCGATATAAATACCTGCATAAATAAGCGGATAAATAAATAAATAAATAAATAAATAGATAAATATAAGTAAATGGATAGATGCTGACGAAAATAAATAGGCGAGATGGTACAAGATGTATGCAATAAATAGATAATGTGCGTCAATCGCGGCGGATATTCATGATTCATTCTTGCAATTATCATTATCCATCTAAACGACGCGCGTGATGAATGCGCGATGATAATTGCACTCGGGTACGTGCTACGTGCACGTCTGACCGGATTTAACACTACCTGAGCGATTGGTTGTGATCGAGTACGTGTTTTATCACATTGTTTGGCAACAACACGGCCGAGAGAATCTATAAATACCTAAAGCGTAAACAATAATTTCTTATTCCTATTAGGCGACGTTACACGTCACGGCACTTGAATCGGTATCTTATATACTATCCGAGAGATGCTTAGACATTGCAATTCGACATGAGGCCTGCAGAAAGGTCTTGGAAAAAAGACGAAACGGAACTGTGGTACTTTTCTACCACAATCTCTGCTTCTCTTTCAACACAATTTCATGCACCAAAAAAAAATTCTTGCTATTTATTCACTAATTTTTTTCTTCCTTTCTCTTATGACACTCTGAATTTATTTTAAAAGTGAGTTGTGAATTTTTGGGAATGTATGTTAATTTGCTTTGCCGCCTATCGACTCTATCATTCTAGTTCTAGTTTCCGTTATTTTCATTGTTTTTGGTGTTACACCCATACAACACCAAACCAACTTCTAAAGACATTCAAAGAACATTTTAAGAATGTACGAATATTCCTAGAACGTTCATGTATGTCATATGCTATTTGGGCAATAATGTCGGAAGGGCGTGATTTAGTTGGCTACGCATGTATATTATCGAATGGTCTCAGAACGGAAGGGGCAAAAAACTGAGAAGAGACCATCTTGAGCGCACGCTGCGGTTCCGCTCTTTTGTAACTTTCTCCTCCTACCGTCCCACCGCAGTTCCGTAACTCCCTGTCATCGTTCTAACGTCAAACGTTTAAGTAAATCTATTAAGTTCCCGGTATTCGCGCGTCACTAGACGCAATCTTCAAACAAGTTCCTGTGTAAAGAAAAAAAAGAAAGATGTCCATTCGTCTACGGATTGCCAATTGCAAGGTCATTCGCGACAATATAGTCGTGTTTTTTGCTTAGTTTCAATCGCCGTCTCCTTCGAAGACGCGTCTCGCTTGATTCGTGCCGGTTCGAAGATCACCGCCAATGATCGTCGCCACCGAGGCGAATTCATCACCGAAGCGAATCGTCACTACTCCCCTGTCTCCCCCAAGTTATCCTAGCGAGTTCTCGGTGTCAATCATTGATGGATATCTCCGAGCTCATCATACTGCTGAAGACCTGAAGAGCACACACGCAACCAATGTAGAGCTTCATTGTCTCCGTGTCGCCGTCGCCGTAGGATACCTCGATGTTTCTGTAAGTCTGTATGCAGCAATAAGTGCCGGTGCCCTGACAGCTGCTGCCGATGTGATTGCACTTCACGTGCTCCAGATCCTTCGGTATCCGGGTACCCCGGGTGTCCGGGATTGACTCTACGGTGTAGTTGCAAATGGAGCTGTTCTGCGCCTGCTTCACTTCCAGTTCGAAAACTTTTTCTTGCACCCTAAGTTCATCTTCGAATCGCCAGGTTACGTCTTTCGGATTAAATTTGTGATAGTTTGCGACAGTCCCAAATTTGTTGTGACGTTTTCTCCTAGCAACGAATTTCATCGAGAGTGCGTCAAAGTCGTTGTGCTTGCGCAGGAAATCCTTTCGTAAAGACTCGCGATCTCTCGAATCATGCTTGTATCGACGGAAAGACATTGGTACTCGCTCCTCCGAATCCTCGTACTCCAAGAAACGATCCAGAACTTGAGGATATTCGCGACTCTTCTTCTGTCCTTGGAAATCGTCGTCATCGAGACGTCTCGATAAATCTCGTGGTGGCGATTCCTCGAAATTGTAATAATTCAAATGAGAATGATGTCCGTGTCGTCGTTTTAGGCTCCGACCTTGAATAAGCGATATATTGACGATGACATAGACAATAAGAACAGGCAGGCAAGATCTAACGTTGAATATCGCCATTGTGTCGTCTGATAAGTTCAAAGTTTGCACAAAAGATCTTCTTCGAAGATTGGCAGTCTTTGTTGATGGCTGTTTTTTTATTCTTCTTCTTCTTCCTTGATTCTCGATAGTTGATAGCGGAATGGATCTTAGTTTCTTTCGAGATTCTTCGTCATATATAATTTTTTTCTAACGCAACCTCGGGATTTCTTTTATTTATTAATGTTGTTTTTATCACGTTTCTTAGTCACAGTGGAATAATATCTTTTCATTTAAATATCTTTCTCTCTCTATTCTATCAACGATATCAGCTTATCTTCCAGACACTTTTCAAGAATAATACAATCGTGATGGAAATAAACGATTACAATCAGAGATTGCAATCAGAACTGTGATTCAATGAGATTATTTAAAACTTTTAACTGATCAATTTTTCCACTGAAAATTATTTTCCGGAATTATTTTGTGTTTATTGAGCTTTTTTTGAAATTCAAAATCTAGCGAATCTCAGCGAGACACTAGAAAACGTGAATACGAGGCACAGTATTTCGAATCGAAATTTTTCGAGTTTGACCGATCGTTTGACGGATCTTTCGACCATGTGACGTAAGTTGATAATATTTTGACGATCTAACAAATTTTAGTCTGGATACCGCGCGATTCTCTGTGATGATTCGCCAGTCGAAATTTGGCATGCGGTACTGACCAGCGCAAGATACGCGAGCGTCTCAGAATTCCCGACGCGGACTTGTAAGATCGAGGGACTAGGCGATTGTCTCTCTTCGTTTCGGTTCGATCGTCTCGCTTAATGGTTTGCTCAAAACTGAGTATTCCCTGATCCCCGAAGGATTTTTTATCCTGCCCGCGAACGTGGGTGGTGTTGCCCCACTTTAACGGGGGCTTGCGCGTGCCGGTACACACGAAGACATGACTAATCCCCCCCTCTCCTTTTATCAGCATCTTGTACAGCCCCTGCCAGGGTGCCGGGGCCGGGGCCGGGGCCCCGAGAACTGAGAAGAGTTTCTTCGGTCGTGTGACATGGCGGCATGGCGGCGGCTTCCTCTTCTTCGAGGATGCGCGCTCTCCTCTTTGACGTCAAAGCTCGTTCCCTCTCGATGAACCTGCCGCATCTTCCTCGTTACCGCTACCGCCGCCTCTGTCACCGCTGTCTGTTCCCTTAAACATGGATTTAGTATCGCTAACCAACCTCGAGCATTGACGTCACACCTTGGTGTAATGCCCATCTATAGCGGAAAGAGGAGAGACCGAGTGTCTCGTGCTTCGTGGAATCTCGTCCTCAGCAATATCCTCACGTATTATAACACCACGAGGCGCGGGGATGGCGACGACGATGACGATTACGCGTGACGAGAGTGCGCGAGGAGAGTTACTTCGAAAGTAGTAATGCAATGCCTTTCCCTTTTGACGTTTACGCGCGGCACAATTTTCCCGCGTTGACGCTCGCGCGTCTCAGATACCACCGACCTAGTCACGCGAACGCACGTACCGGCAATTATTTCAAGGGAAAAGACTCCCGGTTACCAATTACTGTCGATCTTTTCCTATAAACTCGGCACTTCGAGGGATTACCAGTGAGACACTACGCGGAAGGTAAAACACTGGGATTAAACCATTTCATTCCTGATTTCGCGGGCCCGCATTCTGAAGCTGCGGAAAGGCTTTATTATCTTCAGGTCAGCGAAAAGTTTGAGACAGTATTTTAGATGCTGATTTTAGAGAGCGATATGGTCGTCGTTGTCATCGCGACGCGGCTGCCAAAATATTAAAAGTCGCCACCGCCTTGCGAAAGCATTTAAAATGACATTTACATGCAAGAACGCTTGCCCCTTCTATCACTCTCCCTCTCTGGAATAACGCCGTTCTTGCTGTATGTTCGCGTCAACAAGCAGTTGAGGTGGAATCATCGGCCACTCTGGCGGGATACCCGGACGTGCCTTCTTTTTTTTAAAAGGTCGGAGAACACACATGTCGTAAAAGCGCTTAGCATTTTCACTAACTCTTACCATTACCGTTATTTTTTTTTCGTCTAGCGTGAACATGTGTGCACGTGTATACGCGCGAATATATTTGGACAAAAATATCCGAAAAATTCCATAAATGTACTAATTTAATTAATCGTTACGAACGGAGATACGTAATATTAATAAAATGAGATTTTCTAATGCGACATAAATACAGCTAAACACATTTTTTTATTTTAAAAAATATACTTGAAATAATCAAATTTCTATCTACTTTTCTTCAGCTATTTATTAAATTTTTCTTCATAATTTATTTGTATACTGTTCTATCGTAATTTCTTTTTTTATTTCGATCATTTCACTTTTTCTTCATTCAAAATTGAAGTATTAAAGTTATTAAATAATAAGAATACATTAATTTCCTTTTTTCATATATTTTCGGACTTTAGTTACAATGCCAGATGGTACCAGGATGTCGGAAAAACAGAGAGAAAGGAGAGTAGAAAGAAAGAATAAAGCTGATCCCCGATTTCACAGATTAGAAATTTAATATCCCAGAATAAATATTAACTTTTTCTAAGTCCGTTCATTTTTTGCAAGATCGATGTAGAAATTTGTTCTGCAACATTATTTATGTTATGGTAATGTTGTTGTTATTTAAACATGTCTTCGAATTTTTGGACGAATCCTATTTGACTGCAAAAAAATTAATATATTCGTCGACGATATTGCAAAAAATTACATGGAGGAGATCAACGATGAAACCGGTTTTCTAAATGATTAAAAAAACAAATAAAACATGCATATAGGGTATTTCGACTTTTAATTCTACATATATTTTGATTTTACATTCTATATATGTGAACACATTCTCTAAGTATTTTATTGTCATCAATTTAATCTGCTGCATTAATTTGCATTATAACGCCTGATTGTATTATTTTTAAGTTTTTTCGGGTTTTGGGAAATGGGACGTATGTTTACGCACTTTGTACATAAAACTTTTGATATTTACTTTTATTCTGCGAATATTCAATTTAAAAAAAGATTCCACAAAATAGATATCAGATGTATAAATGAAAGAGATAAAATATCAAATCTGTAAATAACACACTTCGAAATAACTCCGTTTTTGTTTATATAAATAACTCTGCCGGCAGATCATTTCTCGTTGGAAAGCTCGCGTGTGTACCGAATTTAAGAACGGAGTACGTAGCAACTGTACAAGCTCTCCTGATGCATTCGTCCATCGGTAGCTGCGGATGATATGCCTTGAAATATGCGAACGCGCCCAAAAATGCATCCCCGGCACCCTATCGCATATCGTTACACTTATGTAGTTGCCTGAAGCAATTTCGTCTTAAATACATGCCAATCATTTGAATGAATCACTAAGTGAATCAGCGTTCCAGTCCAGTCCGGAAATTGACCGGTTGTTCGTTCAAAAGATTGTGAACCGGAAAATACCATCAAATACTTTCACCATTCCGACCGTGAGAAAGAAATCACGAATCAATTTACAAGATTTGTATAAGCAGGAAGTACGGACCATACGTGTAAATAATAATAAAAATGACCACGTTTTTAAAACAAAACAAAAACTTATAGAAAGTGTCTTAGAATTATCGCATAATTCTGAGACACTTCATCAAGTTACTAAATAATTAAAATACATGTCTTCAAAAGAACGATTTCTTCAATTTTGTTATAATGAATAATGACTCGAACAATTCATCATGAAATCTATCGTGATTACGACAGTTCTATAATACTGTGTATGCAATACATACGGTAGTATCTACAGGGTGGACTTCAGTAGTGGAAATTCGTGTGATGTTTGTATTCATTTTCGATGCGTATGCAGCTCCGAGAGATCCGAGTGTAAGAATGATTGCGTTGCATCCTTTAGCTAGAAACTTGTCCGTTATTTGTTGTATATTCGACAAGTCCACAGGTTGAATGCCCGTCATAATTTCCGCCTACAAAAGCGTAATGGAGTCCTTGATGTATTTGAAATGTTATAATGCTTTGGCTCTACTATTTCAGAAAACAAAAGTTCAAATTTGGGACATACACTGAGAAAAAGATTAGAATAAGACTTAAATACTTATTTAAAATATATATTTATTTTACTAAAATAATATAAAATCTTATTAAATATATAAAATCTTTATTTAAATACGAATATAAAATTTTTATATCTGATAAATAAATCATATATTTTATATTTTTACAATTAATAAGATATATTTCATAGAAATGTATATTTTGTCACACACAATCAAATTTTTTCATAATTAATAAACATCGGAGGAAACGTAAATATAATAACATTGCTTTACAATACTTCGACATTTTTCTTTCAAAATATCTTATAAAATCAGAATATTCAATCGATTCTTATATTAAAAATCGTCTAACAAATGAGATTAGACAACTCAAAAATTCAGAAAATTCTGAAACATTGTATGCAAGTAAAATAGTTCATCTGTAACAACGAACTATTTTTTGTTCGTGTCATATTACGGTTTGAGAGGGTGTAAAATCATCCCTTGAAAAAAATGTAGATTTTTTTATGGAATAACTGCCGAACGGTGAGAGATATCGAAAAAAAATTAAATAAAAATTGCATTTCTTTCTTATATCTACAAAGCGTATATAAGTACCAAAAAATCCGCGTTTTTGTTGTGTTATCCTTCTCTCTCTTACCATTCTTCAAAATTAAGTTTTTGTACTTTGTGAATTTATGTGAAAATATTTCTCCGTAAACTCTTTTTATACATCATAATCGATTTATTTATTATTTATTTAAAAAAACTCAATGAATTTTTTAAGTCCAGTTTTTAACAGTTTTGATTATTAAAATGTGGTTTTATGAAGCGATATTTAATTATTATTAATATATATTTCAGACAGTTTTTAAAATTATTTAAGCAAGATGGTATGTGTCTTTATAACTGCACGAAAGATAAAACTAATTAAAGTTATCAGTGACGTATATAAAAACCGCAACGTGCATATATATATTATTATGCATATATATATTATTTGAGATGTCATTTTATTAAATAATTTTACAAACTACGATAAACAAGAATCGCACGGAACTATTTTAACATTAAATGACGCAGACTTTGCGTCATTTAATATTAAAATAGAGTTCCAATATCATATTTGTCGTGCAATTTGCAAAGTAGTTTGATAAAAATAACACCTCAAGTAATGTATGTATTAAGACCCATCTTATTAAGACTCGTATACGTCACTGATTAATTTTAATTAGTTTTATGCAGTTATGTGTGTGTGTGTGTGTGTATGTGTGTGTGCGCGCGCGCGCGCGTGTATGTGTGTGTGTGTGTGTGTTAAGTATTATATATAAACACACACACACACACACACACACACACACACACACACACACACACACACACACACTATTTGTTTAAATTGAAAACCATCTGGTGATTTTATAAAATAATATTAATAATTAAATATCGCTTTGTAATATCATTTTAATAAACAAAATTATTGAGACGTAAAAATTCAATGAATTTTTTTAAATAGGTGACACATAAATTGATTATAACACATAAAAAGAAATTATGGAGACATATTTTCGCATAAATTTACAAAACACAAAAAATTCAATTTTAAAGGTTAGTGATGAGAATAACATACACAAAAGAAAATACGATTTTAAAATAAGAATAGACTACGAATGTCGATCTAAAAGATATCTTAAAGATATTTCTGTTCAAAAGACATTCTAATTTTAAACCAATTATTGTGGGATAATTTACTGTATTATATTGAAAAAAAAATCGTCCTCATTATCTTATCAATTGCACTAATTGTTTACGTACCTCCCTCTCATTGACGCAAAAAATGTCACACAATCTAAAAATTTCCGTATCAGGATTTTCCAGTGCGGGCGCTCCGTTGACAATAGAAAGTCCTATCATTACATTACGCTTACATAAAATTGTATCCATAGCTCTCTCAGAATCACGATATCGTTAATCCTTATTTAGGATTTACGATAACATAGTTTAGAAAGAGAAAAGTGCAGTGTTCGGATATTTCTACATGGAGAAAAAAAAGCGAGGAACGAACCGTGGCCCCGATGTAACTTCAATGCATGCAGTGTGGCTTCTAGCGGCACCTCAAACTGGCATAATAAAATGCTTGCACTTTGGATCACGTTGGCGGCGGAATCCACAAGTTCCGGAGTCAACGATTCGTTTGCACCTAACACGATTATGATGGTGTTCTCACCTGCGAATGTTATTCGAAAGGTGACTCGATTATTTACTGATGAGATCAAAAAAATTATTTTAACGAGAAGTTAGAAATTAATTCCATTAATTCCAATGATAATGATTTATTCAGAATCAAAACTACTTGTTTTTCCACGTAAACAATTTCAAAGCACTCGAAAAGACTTTAATTTATATTTTTACTACATCTAAAACATACCATTTTCAGCAACGGTAATGTGAGCAACACCGCTTTGTTTATCACTTTGTATCTTCACGTGAGATACATCTACATTTTCCTTTCTTAAAATCTCTAAATATTCTTGAGCAAACATGTCAGAACCTAACTGCGATAAGAGATAAAGAATATCGCAATATGTAAGTTGTGAAACAAACCGTAATTAATTAAAGAGAAATCATATAAATATTGGCTAAAAAAAAACGAATACTATAAAGCTTACTTTAGACGGTCTATAATTCACGACCAAATTCGGGATAGAATTCTATGTAATAAATATTGCATGTCATGTAACAGAGAAAGCATCTGAAAAAGTAAAATACACACATATAGAAAATATGTATCAGTGATATATATTTTGTATGTATGTATTTAACTTCTTCAAATGTTTTCTATGTTACATGACAAGTAATATTATAAATAGAATTCTATCTCGAATTTGGCCGTGAATTATAATCATTGTAGATCGTCTAAAGTGGATTTAAAAAACAAAAAAGCCAAATGTGACACGTTGACTCCATATAAAAAATAAATGCCTACTGAAGCAATAAGTGCCGTAGATCCACCAAGTTTAGCAGCTGTTATACACTGATTGGCGCCTTTACCACCATATTTCTTTTCAAATCTAGTCCCGATTATCGTCTCGCCAGATTTTGGCAACCGTGGAGAGAAACTAAAAAGCAATAATGTTAAAAAATTATAATACGAAGTTGAGAATAAATCTAATTAAGTAAGAGAAATCCTGTATTCGGTCAAAGCGAATCTTAGTGCTTAAATATTTTGGTGTGAATTTATATAATTCAATTCTGCAAACCGCGCGCGCCGAAATCTTTTCCAGTCTTGAAATGCAATTATGAACAAAACTAAAGTAATAACATCGCATATTAAATTAATAAGTAATTATTATATTGATGTTAATAAGCGTCTAAGAATATTAACAATTTGATGTTAATAAGTATCTTAAAAACCTTTTAATAATTTTATTGTACAAAAATATCTCAGCCGAGATTTAAATCCGGATCTCTCAGAAAGAAATGATAATAGGTCTGTTTTTTATTGCTGCACTCTGAACTGATGTAATAAGTTGAAGTGAAACGTATATTTATTTCACTTCAACTTATTACATTGTGTGTACTTGTTCAGAAAGTCAGCAATAAAAAACACAGACTAATATTATGAGATAATATTAGATTGTAACTATTTATTATATACATAAATATAAAATTAGATTTGGCTTTTTCAATTAAGTGTGTTAAACAGAATTACAAATTATTGCAATGCACAATCACAGTAAAGAGAAAGCATCTTTCTTTGCGCAATTTTTAATTATATTTATTATCGTAATTATATACAATATTTATTAGAACACAAATCACAATGTAATTATAATGTTAATAATTAGAGATCGATCGACCATGAGACAGTATCAACTTTTGTGCGAAAAACTTCATCCTTACTCACCAGGTAAAGTCAATCATGCACGAACCGACAACGACTATCTTTGGTGTCATACCGCACAGTTTTTAGTCTCTCTTTCGCTTATACACTTTTCTCGCGAGCAATCAACTCTAATTATTAAAATAAACGTTATTTTCTGAAACGTGATGCTTGCAACAATGATTATTTCTGAGCAGCGTCTAATCGCAAATAGAGTGCACAGATGACTCGCGTTATCGCTGCTTGTCGTTCAAGTTCGTAAATCAATAATGAGATGTTATCGCAGTTATCGGTCGAAAGATCATTTTTTGCGCGTGATCCAACGTATGTATCGCGTGTGGAGCCTCGTGACGGTGACGAGACTCTCAGAGGACGAAATAAGAGAAATGCCGCAGACACGTGAATTAATTTAAACCGCCGTCTATTAGAAGAATAAAAATAAAAAAGGGGCTTTATTTACAGCAGCGTTTGCCTTGACGGGGACAGGTTATCTTTCTTTTTTTTTTACAGTTATCATATATCAGGACGAAGTCACACATTTGCGAGAGACCATCGAAATCAACTTGCACCGCTAGAGAAGCGTTTAAGTATACTCGACGATCGTTATAAATCTCGCGATGGAAAAAACAGCGCGCCTACGTGATCACCCACGTATGTACGCAAGTTTGGAACGTCTTCAGTCTTGACATCACCATATATTATCGAGAACGATAGATAGACAGCCCGGAATAACAATTCTGAGTTACATTAGTAACGTATCTTATATTGTCCGTATTGCATTGGCAGTCGCCATATTGGGTACATTTAGTACTACAACCGCTTACAGAGCGCTCAGCTCTTGCATTTGATAGGCATGTTCCGTTAGATCTAAAAATATAGACCAAACAAGTACAAGAGCTGATGAACGATGGTGAACGATTGAAGTACTGAATGCACTTACCCATTTTGTTACATGAGAATCCGGTTAGCTGTTCACGTATATGCTAAAGCGATATAGCTCAATAGTAATTACTTAGTAATAATTATATTGCATGTATTGCATTACATAATTTTTAAATTAGAACTGCCGTATATAGAAAAACGTAAACTAGCAGTAGGCAACTCGATTAATCGCAATCTTATGTTTTCAAAAATCCTCAATTACTACGATTGGTAAATTCGCTTTATATCCAGAAAAAAAACATGCATAGCTGCATAACTAAATGAGTAAAGATAATTATCTAAATAATTTAATTAATCGCATAAATTTTATTAAAGATATATGTAGAATATGCGATATTTATTAATTCTCTTTACGTATACGTTTATGCAGTTATGTAATAGCATATTCAATTTACTAACTCGGTCTCACTCCGAGTTAATGGTCTGTTCTGTTTAGCTGCTAAAGAAGAGTTAAACTGTGCAAGAAATGCAGTTAAAAAGAACAGACTATTGACTTAAAAGATTTGACTTAAACTCAGATAGAATCAGTAAATCGAATATGCTATAAGTTTGTCTAGATAAGCCTTTTATAATTTTACAGCTATATTCTGTTTCCAAGTTTCTTAAATTCTGTATATATGTATTTATGATAGTGTAGAAATTGTTTCGAAATCTCAAACGAAGAAAGAACTGATTCGTAAAATTGTTCAAAATTTGATATAATATTAATTTATAGTATAAAATGATTCGCACCAAAAGTATTGCGTATATTATTTACAACTTTTAAGAAAATGAAGTTGGTGTATAAATTTTTCTTATCTTTTATATAATTGTATGATAACTTTTTAGCATTATCAATCAAGATTTCTAATCATAGATAATGGCATGTCTTAGACAATTTTTGCTGTAATTAATAAAAAAAAAAATTAATCAATTATTTTCACAAAGTTTATAAATATAATCTTTTTTACATTACTTTAAATACGAAGCATCATTACGGTCTGAATGTAAAGATGTTGCACTATTACATATATTCATTTAAATGAATTAATTTCAGAAATTATAATTGCATTCTGATATGGTTGTCGGACTTTCAACGCAATCAATCTGAAATATTAATAATCCTCCCAAATTTCCTAAATTTAATCTTAAAAAACTATAATAAATCTTTTTTAAAAACGATCATATGAGAATCATTACGATAGAACGATCATTAAATCATGTAAGAATACTAATAAGGTGTATTATTGCGCATAATGGCGGCAGCCTTGTGGGACAGCCAATCAATGACCGACCACAAAGCAGCCGCGTAATTTAAAGCGTTAAGTGTCGTTATGAATAAGGAAAATTAAGATAAATTAAAAAAAGTAAGAAAATTTAAAAAAAATAAGGAAAATTTTAAAATTAATTAATTTTTAATATGAAAAAGTCTGCTGACATATTATTCTAAAAGATTAACGGCAGAAATTGAGTTAGATTTGCAATTTCTATTTGATTTCTGCTGCTATCTGCTGGCATATATCAGTAAGTGTGTAAGTGCGCTCTACTAAAGGAAACGACAAGTAATTTTTTTAATTATTGCATTTATTTATTTACCCCAAACCATAACTTAAGTTAACTTTAAATGGTTTTACTTTTGAGATAAATATACTAATAATAATACAAATTAAAGTTTATAGTTTTGTAAAATAGAAACAAAATATACAAGGTTTTATTCTAAAATTTTTTCTCATTTTAATATCAATGTGATTCTAATTATAATATATATTTAAAGGAACTATTGTTTTTCAATGAATAATTTATTATTTAATTTTATTCATTATGTTAATGTCTACCATTGTCTTTAAATGATAATCATTTTGTATAACTTGTTCCTAGTATTTAGACCTTTCTTCGTTATATTTATAGTTTCTATTAAAATTAATAATTTGTGTAGAAAGAAACAAGTTGCACGATCTATAAATATTAAATAATTATGACATACAAGAATGATAACTATATCATACCAACACATAAGGAAAATACGATTCAAAGAATTTACATCTTTTTCAATTATCAATTATAATGCTACTTTTGTACAACAAAAATTATGCTTACAAGAATTTGTACAAGCTATTTCTAGTGCTATGAATGTATGGAGATATAAAATATTATATATTGCACAATTTATATTAGCATCAAAACGAAAAAGGTTGGCAAAAGCGTTCTTTCATAAATTGTGTAATGTAAATGCACAATTTAAACCAGCCATTTTTCAAAATATAATTGAGATGATGCAATACCTGAAACGAGATAAACACCCGCTTAACTAGTTTCATGAGACTTTATTCTATCTACAAAATTCACGGCTACTGCAGCTGGCTGTTGGGAGCCATATTGGTTTTTAGTATTTGTGGTCAGCGATTGATTGGTCTAAGAGCGGCCATTTTTTGAACGATTGTGCATCCTCGGGAATGATATTCTTTCTTATATCATGGGTTAGATTGTCCCAAATGGATTAGTTATCATATATCAGTGATTCTGCGAGATTCGTATCTTGATTGTGGTCCATTAAAAAGGAGATGAAAGAAATAATACATTAAAGAGGAAGCACTCAGTACGCTGACATATAGCGTAGCTTCTTTATTTCTTTTTATTCTTTATGATCAGATTACGTCTGAATTCTAATGAAATCTTTCGTTTAAAGGTTAAGTGAGTTATATTTATGGAGTGAAATAAAAAAAAGAAAGACGAATAGCGGTAAAACTCCATCTGATATTGTTTTGAGAACTGTTAGAGCAGTGAAAATACATAATTTGTCCATCGACAAGCCGCTTTAGAATAAAATGCGAATTACCGTACTTTATATCGTTACTGCAAGAGGATTCCAGAAGAGGATTATTTACATAAAAACGTTGTTCCAACAATTCATGTGGGTTATGTTAAATTTAAACAGATTTTTACTGATTCTTAAGAACAGCAATTAGTTGAATATATTCTATATGGTTCGGATATTTATTTCAGTCTTTCTCCTAAAGAAATCAGAATTTTCGCTTATAATCTAGCCTGCTATAACTCAATTGAAATGCCTCCGTCTTGGTATATAAATAAAATGGCAGGAAAGGATTGGTTTTATGCAGTTACAGTAAACTTTCGATTCGAAAACCAGAAGCAACACTTAAAGCAAGAATTACCTGCAGCTTCAATAAAGCTAATATTTCCCCTCTTTTACACAAATTTGAAAAAGATTTTGTCACATCACTATTTTAATCCTTAAGACATGGAATATAGATGAAATAGGAGTTACAACAGTTCAGATACCAGATAGAATATTTACTCAGGAAAGCAACATTGCTACAAGGAAGTAAGAAACATTTCATCAACGTAATTTGTTACTCTGACTTGTATTATATCTGCAATAGAAAATCAGACCACCTTTCTTTGTATCTCCTCATATATATTTTAAAGTTCATTTTATTACATTAGATTCATCTGGATAAAGTGGTACTGCAAATAAATTAGGTTGGATGCAAAAAAAAGATTTTGAACAATTTTTGAGAGACTTTCATAATTATGCAAAATGTATAACTGAGAAACCAGTTTTATTGCTATTGGACAATCACAATTTGCATCTCAATATTGAAGGAATAAATTATGCAAAACAAAACAGAATTGTAATGTTATTTTTTCCACCGTATTGTTCGCATCAGTTGCGACTATTAGAATAGTATATAGATCATTAAAAAAATACATCAACTCTGTTTGTGATCCATGGATGTTAAACCATCCTGATCGCAACATATCTATTTATAATATTCCCACAGTTGCTTATCCACTTGCTATGACATCAGCAACTATTCAAGCAGGTTTTAAACGCATTGACATATTTTACTTTAATAAGGAAATTTTTATGAACTTTGCTTCAAGTTAAATTACAGATAGGCTACTTTCTGAGGAAAATAGGTTAGTATAAAATATTAATAATGTGGTATTAATATAATTAGTGTAAAGTTAATGTAATGATACAATTTCAGTAATAATAGTGAACAGCAAGCTATAAGAAGAAGTACAGAAAACATGATGGAAATAAGCAATCCTTCAAGAAATATCTGTCAACCATCTATTCTGAATCAAGCCAAGGTTTAACTCCAGAAGATATTTGTCCTTTTCCTAAAGCTAATCCACGGAAGAATTCCCGACAAATGGCAAAAAAAACGAAAGATAGCTATTCTTGCTAATATACAAATAAAAGCAAAACTTGAGAATAAAAGCAAAACTAAAGAATATGGAAACTAAAAAGAAGAAAGAATGTAAAAAGGAAATTATTTAATAAAACAGATAACAAGACAATGAATAATTCTATTTAAAAAATCTAAGAAATCTAAACAAATTAAGAACTAAAAAAGGAATACTAACATTGAAACAGATGTTATGAAAGAATGTTTCTGTTTAATTTGTACAAAACCTTACTTAAGTAGTTTGCCTAATGAAAAATGGATTCAATATACTATATATAAAGGATGATCTCACAGAGCACGTATCTCTAAAACATTATATTATGTGTGTACAATACTGTGAATCATAACTTAGCTTTTGCAGATTATTAAAATTTTTATAGTTCTTTTAAATATACAGTATCTTTTATATTAAAGAGTATTATATATATATTCATTGATTGGATCCCATATGTTTAAGAAACGGTATCTTTTCATTTAATTTAGATATAGTACATATAACTTCTATAAATATATCGAGATTTCTTTTTGTACATGATATTTTTTTTTAAAAACATTTACAAACTTTAATATTATTTTTAGAAATTTATTTTAGATAATAATCTCTAAAAAGACTGCATATTTTATATTACATAATAGTTTATATTACATAATTATATTTTTCGAATAAAAATTTATATTTTATAATTAAAATAATTATTGCAAAAATATTTATATAATTATTATTATTTATTCAATTATTATGTATTCAAATTGTAAATCAAGTCCCCTTCTTAGCAAATTTATAATAATAAATTCTATTCTATTATTATTTGTTCAAATATAAAACTAATGTTTAAAAAAACTATTTTTTTTATATTTTATATAAGACTGACAACTAACCCCGAAACGATATGACACTCAATCCAGAGTATGAAGTAAAATGTCACATTTGCACAATTTTACTTAAAATTGAAATTAATTTATTTGTACAATGATATATGTCAAAGTAATATTCTTGAGGCTTCCACGAGTGCTTTCTATATGAAGATTATGCGTTTCGGGGGTTTCCTCCGTGTCCATTATTGGAATGCTAACGTTTCGTGAATCTTGCAGTCCACTTCATAAGCTGTCAGGCTGCTCTTTGTCTCGATGAAGTGGACTGCAAGGTTCACGAAAAGTTGGCATTCCAATAATGGATCTGGACACGGAGGAAACTCGCGAAACGCATAATCTTTATATATAATCTTTATATATGTCAAAGTATTTTTTTTTTATACCTAAAAGATGTAAGTATATTATAACGTACATAATATTTTAAAATCTTGTATTCATTTTTTTCTAAAAGTCACTAATCAAAAATTATGACAACCAGTACGTCCCGGTACGTTTGAATCTCCTACGTTCGAAATTGGCGCTCATCGCTTAATATTCTATCTTCTTTTTATGAGTAATAAATGATAAAGATAGAAGCTTACAGCGTGTTAGAAGTGCAATTTCAAAGGCAAACTTAATAGAATTATTCCATTGAATATCTATCAGTAGTGCAACCATTCACTGAGCGGCTAAGTACTAACTTATAAATAGCAATCAAAGGTGATTGATGATTGAATTTAAATAAGATAAGAACCAATCATCTTTAATTGCTCAGTGAGCGCTTGTGTTACAGGATGTACTTATATCTTTAATAAGAATCTGAACATAAACCTTATTTAAATGAGGTCTCTTATAGTTTTAGCAAAAATGAGATCGAAGAACATACATTCATTTCATTATTTCATTATTTCTTTCTTTTTTTCTTTTGTTCTATCTATCTTTTTCTTTTTCTTTGTCTTTTCTACCTTTCTCTTTTTCAGGAGTTATTAATTAAAATATAGCGGACCAATAAAAAATGATTACGTTCAAAGTTCAAACTTTTATTAGAAGGTCTCTACTCTCTAGATGCACCAAATGAATGCATTTAGTGGACTTAGCAGTTGAGTAAGAGGCTCCGCACAATAAAAGGAACAGGAAACAGAGAATAGAGAATAAGAATTTCAACTTATCAGAAATCATGTTTTGTAGAATACAGTTTCTGCGTTTGCTGTTATTGTGTTTTCCAACAACGTACACAGATGAAAGCACAAGGTTTCCAATTGCAATATCCCTAGACACTTTCGTGCACACAGCGACACAAGTTGCGTTCCAATTGTTCGTTATCGTCGATACAACGCTATACATCTGTACTCAGTCGAAAGCTGCGTTTTCTAGTGACAATTACATGTTATTAACTGCGGCTATAAATGAGGTTGGAAGACATTGAATGGCCGGCACTTTTACTTTTTTTTATTTAATACAGGCGGAAAAAGCTACATTTAATTTAACTCTATCCGAAACGGATCTTCACCAAGCATAGCGTAGGCATGTTCCAATTGAATCGTGCACAATGATACACTTTGTGCATTCCTGTGTACGTTTATGTTAAGATTAAACAATTGGAAAGCACCCACAGTGTAAGGACCATTCCATACAAACTTGCATAGCCGCATAATCATAAGCATAAAGAAAATTATCCAATCACATTTCTGTCATAAAGACAAATACGATTGGATGATTTTTTTTATGCATATGTTTATGCGGCTATGCAAGTTGTGTGGAATGGCCCTAACACTGTGTCTTACACAAAGTGTTCCAATTATGACACAGTGTTAAGCGGGGAGCACAGCTCTTGCATAACGCTTAAAACTTGAGACATAAGAAAATCAATCAATTAGAATCCTTTATTTTATGGAAAAGAAGGAAATAAAGGATTTTGATTAGTTCTTTCGAAAGCGACGAGCAATATCCAACTCTGTTTTTCCTCATGTGACGATGCAAAGCAGAACAATATATACAATAGCGCAATTTTCTGTTAGTGTTTCCCAAAATGCTCATGTGCGAAATAAATAAGTTCCCCAGTAATTCCATCTGAATTTCTTTCTCAATTGTTCTTTATTTTTCCTCTCTTTCTCTCTCTCTCTCTCTCTCCCCCCTCTCTCTCTCTAGATCGTTTGTACATCAAAATTTAATCTAAATGTAATAAAACTAAAAGAAATAAATTTATTATTGTAATGCATTGCAAAATAAAAAAAATACAAAAATAAGAAGAATAAAATTATATAAATGTTGTATGATACAAATATTATACTGTAAAAATATTTTAATTAATAACTATAGCACACGATGCTTGTTTTCCTATCAGATCGCTTGCGTTTTAGTAAATTATTAGAATTGCACACAAAACGCAGATTTTCTAGCTAAAACGAAAGCAATTTAGCTGAAAAACAAACAATGTACTTAAATCATTAAAGGGAAACAGTATTTAAATGGCCCTAAAAGAGAGAACGGAAAAAGGAAGAAGTGAGATAGAAATTTAGATGGCGTTACTGGGCAACTTATGGGCTTACTTATTTCACGCATGCGCATTTTGGGAAACATAAAATCAGGAGAGTTGTGCTATTATATACTGTGATAGAACTTTCATTGGATATCGCTCGTCGCTCATCGCTCATCGTATCTAGAGTTCGTCTAGTAAGAATTAAGACACCGAGTAATGATATTGGTTCCGCCATATAAGGAAAGAGCGATGTATTCAAAACAGAATACGACGATAAATAGTATGTACATGATGATGAATCCAATAAATATTGATGTAAGATTAAGTAATTTTTCTTCATAGTAATTATTTTAAACGAAATATTTGTATTATTCTAATACTATTTTTATGAATATTTTTAAATTTTTTCTGAATAAAATAGCGTTTTAATAAACTGTTTTATTCGGATTTAGCTGACGCACCTTGTAAATATATAAAACCAATCATATTAAATTATTTAATTTATAACTGTTACTATTTTGAACTATTTTGAAAAGACGCAATACACGTCATCGAACGATTAATTTCACTTTCCATTTAGTGACACACAAGTCGACATACTGTTCTGTGCTTTAATTGTTAGCTCAGATCTTTATACGGGCAACAACGCTTTGACACCGAACGATGATTGATAAAAAACAGGTGATGGGAGTAAATTTTATTCCCACAACCGACTTTTCACCAATCAGCGTTCGGTATCAAAGCGCTATTGTTTATATAAGGCTTAACTCGTGAAATGCAAAGAAAAATAGAACTATATTTGTGTACTTCCATTTAATGCCCGTATCATACTAACGATTGGCGATTGCATCTGTGTTGCGTCCCTTGATTAATCAAAACGAAACTACTGACCAGCAGGTCCTTTCCGATTGATCAAAAGACGCAAACGCAATCTCCAATTGCTAGTGTAATATCGACATAAAATCTGTAGCCAATCAGCACGTAGGAATATTTTACGGAAAAACGGCAAGTTGATTTTGAAACGGCTACACATTTCTCGATTCGAGAATTCGAATCTGAAAAAATCCGAGAAATCCTTCTGAATTGGCTTTCATAAGATCGCGAACTTGATTTGAATCGATATTTTCAGTATTTCGAGTGAAGACCACTTTCAAACCATTTCAGACTGACATCACTGACATATACAGACAATTTCGCATACAAAACACCTAAATTAATTGCTTTTTCTGTTTCCATACAAACATCAAATGCTAGTACGTCATTCCAATTAATCGCTCTCGATTGCTCGAAGGAATATTTATACGAAATCAATCGGAAATTGATAAATGCCACGACATTATTAAAATAGCTATGGGTAATTTATTGTTCGCAGGTTTGTAACAAGCAATTTCTCTCTAGCATTGTTCGTTTTGTCTCTCGAAAGCTACTCGGAGTCGCTCCGAATGAATCCACTTAAAATTATCGTAATAATGAATGTCAGATGATGGATGTCGTACATAGTGTGAATCCTATATTTGAAGTACGCTGGGTTCATTCGGAGTGACTCTGAGCAGCTTCCAAGAGACAAAAGAAACAATATTAATAATTCATTTTAGAAGAATCGGAAATTTTTACGCATCAATGTACCTTCTATGAAATCTATATTTTTTTACTATTTTTTTTGGCGCAAGCAAAATTTCACTTTCAAATTTTTTCGTAATAAAAGGAGATCAAGTCCATTCTTCCTAAAACATCTTGTTAAAAAACTACTTGATAATATAAAAGAGATGTTGAAAAGTAACTCTGAATTTTTTCACATTTTTTGAAAGCCTAGAATAGAAAAAGAAACTTGAATTAAATGGAGGGAATAAAAATGTATGATCTGCACGAACGATTAAAATTCAATTTCAATTCGTCAAAATTAATAAAAATAAAATAAAATTTCAATTAATTAAATTTGTTGTAATCAATGAATAAAGACACTGAATTACAAATAGAGGTGTAAACGATGGAAAAATATTAGAATTTTAGGATAAAAAATTGGGAAATTAATTGGGAAATAAATAAATTTTTTTCCTTCGACAGTTTTTTATTCAAATATTTTTTTTAGATCATTTATGTCTGTTCGCATTGCATGAAATTCCTCAAAATGTTTGCACTTAAAGTGATATAATTAGAAAAATAGATTCAGGCGAAGGAAGAGAAAGCACAGATGCTGAATGCAAGCAACGCAAACAGACCTATTAATCTATTATCAACTCATCCAGAATTACAATAGCCAATAATACATATTTCCGCTTCGGTATAAAATTATAAAGATAAAAGTATCGAAATAACAAGAAAAATGAATTCTATTTCTTCTTCTACGTATTTAATATAAATTCTGTATATTTTTTCACAAATTTTATGTAATTTGATCAAAAATACCGTTTTTTATAATAAAAAATTAATTTTTTACTTAATACTTTTCTCCGAAGTTAAAAATACCATTTTTTTTTTATATCTCTAATTATAAATGGTAATCAAGGTCAATGAATTCAAATTTAATCACATAGATATAGAAATTGTGTCAGTAATTGAATTGAATATTTACGCGAATGCGCGTTTGACACGCTCTTCTTTCCTTTCTCCTCTTCCTCAAATCCCCACTCTTTCACTGTTAAGAACTCGATATAGTCGATATAAAGTGGAGTTACATTTCTCTTTCTCTCTCTCTTGCGCTGTGTTCTATATCCTTTTTACGAAACTGTTATACAACTGTTTGAACTTGTTCCAGGCCGTTCAAAAAAGCGACAGAACATGACGAGCCCGGTCGTGATTTCAGCCACAGCTAAGCATACGGCAACGGTAGATATCAAGATATCCTTTTGAGGATGTAACGGCAGTTTTTGGTTATATCATTTGCGGTGGTGCGATCCTAATTGGTCATAAATGAATTACATTTACATTATGCAAAGTACTCTCGTTGCGCTTTTTTTCCTTTCTTTCTGATATGCTCGTCGATGAAACGCACTACTGCTCCGTTTTATTGCTCGCGAATTGATAGTCAACTTTTTTACTGCATGTCTTTCGCGAGGTAATTGTCTTAATAGATATAAAATACTTCACGTAGCTTCTCCGAGGACGAAACACTGTGGCCAGTCTACTATTTTCACTATTTAATACCTTTTCAGTAAAGTCATGTATGACACGACTTGTCTTGAAACACGGATTTTAAATCTGAAATTTTTTTAAAGATTACTTCTGAATAAAGCCAATATTATCTTATTTCGTACTAAAAAGCATCTGTGTTTCAGCTAATATTTTTCCATGGCTTGGGTGATACAGGGTAAGTTTATATTTCCAATACATGGTTGTAATTTGGAACGTTGCAAAATGACAGATCTTGCTAACATTCTATATATGTTGTTTTCAGGCACGGTTGGGCCAGTTCCATGGGTGCAGTGCGATCTCCTCATGTTAAAGTTATTTGTCCTACTGCGTATGTCAATATCTTTAGATGTTCAATGATTGACTGTGACCTTTATTTTGTAGCTCTTAATAACAGTCGATGTCATTGCATTTATTTTTGCATAATTTTTTTTAACCACAAGTATAAAATCTATGCAACGACATCAACTATTCTAGTCACGTTCCAAAATGTCTTCTCCAAAAAATTTTATTCAAAATATAAAGTATATATAATATATATTATACTGAGTAAAATTTTCCTTGTAGCCCTAATTTATACAGATCGTTTAATATCCATACCAATCATAGCAACTTTCAGTTAAATTATTTCAATTTCGGCATATGAATGCATATATGGTACATATATATTTAATTCATCATCTTGTATTATGCCACTCTATATCACTCTTTAAATGCACTATCAAAATTAAGATAATTTAATAAAAAATTACTAATTGATACAAGTATTAAACGATCGGTAAAAATTAGGCTATTGTTAAGAGTTTAAAATAGCCTGTGTAAATTAATAGTAGTTTTAATACATGATTTTTTCTATTTCAGGCCCACAATGCCAGTAACACTTAATGCAGGATTCAGAATGCCTTCCTGGTAACTTTAAAATGAACATAAGAATATATTCTCATGAAAACAATGAATTATAAATTAGAGTTTATATGATTATTAATGCATCTTGTGAATCTAGGTTTGATCTACGCACTCTGGACTCCAGTGGCCCTGAAGATGAAGAAGGTATACGTACAGCCGCTCAAGTAGTCCATTCATTAATAGCGGAGGAAGTTGCAGCTGGGATTCCTACCACACACATCGTTCTAGGAGGATTCAGTCAAGGTGGAGCACTAGCCATGTACAGTGCCCTTACATTCCCAGAGCCTTTAGCTGGTATTATAGCTTTATCGGCATGGCTTCCTTTACATCAAAAATTTCCAGCAGTATGTACTTTGTATTACATTACTTTTATGTATCATATACTTGTAGAATTGTAATTGTAATACTGATTTTTATTTTCAGGAAGCAATAGGTAATAGGAACACTCCACTGTTGCAATGTCACGGCGATTGCGATCCAATTGTGCCATATAGATGGGGTCAAATGACAGCATCTCTTCTAAAACAATTTATGACACAGACAGAATTCAAAACATACCGAGGAATGATGCATACATCTTCTGAGGAGGTAATGAAGCTTCAATTGAGAAAAAAATTCGTCGAATCTTACATTTAAGGAAATTATAATGTTTGTCTCTTTTTTATTATTTTTACAGGAAATGCGCGACATAAAGAAATTCATCGAAAAGGTTCTGAAGCCGTAATAGATCAAATTGACATATATTGATATTTTATCGGCTATTTCAAGTATCTAACTGTACATTATATTTAAATAATTCCAATTCTGCGATTATTTAATTTTAGTAAATTAATTATATATGAACTTTAAAGACGACAAGAAGACAAGTAGAATATCATTGAAAATCTTCCAAGATATTGAGATTCAATGCTACATAAAAAATATACTTTCCTGTAGAGGAATATATTTATTTACAACATTTAATTTGCAACTATATATTCAAACTTCTTGATATTTTAATGTACCAAAGCATATTCATATAGCAATACTACTGAATTAATTCATGCACAGTCCTTAATCCTTTTAATATCTAAAAAAATTGGCATTCCTTGCTTTTTTTATATTTATAATATATATGTATGTGTCTGTGTGTGTGTGTGTGTGTGTGTGTATGTATGTATGTATGTATGTATATAAATAAATAAATACACACACACACACACACACACACACACACACATGCATATATTAAATATACATATATATTTACAGATATGTATATAAATATGTTTGTATCAAAAACTACTTTGTATTAATTTATAAGACCATGAAATGGTAATGCATTATTCAAAAAGAGCATGAAGGACTCATGTTTATTCATTTTTGCGATTTATCTACGACAATAGTAAATTTACAACTTATGTTAGATTTAAGATAATGCTAAGTTATGTTAGATAAAGAGCTTCTTACGTCAGCTCTTCTGTCGATAACTTCCAACTATTTCGCGCCTAAATTACGTTTCGGATAATATTTATTTGGATACAAATCAAACACGTCCACGAAGCACTTAAATAATTCGCGCATTTAAGAAACTGTGAGCCTTTTACATTCAAATTTCTATTTCACGCGATTTATGCTCGCGACGTAACATGAAATGTTGCTGCTAATAAAATCACTTTTGTAGCGAGTATTGTCTAGAAGACAGTGACACGGCCATGTAATCTGTGATTACGCATTGTATTATCGAAACCCATCAATCCATCATCTATTATTAATATAGATCAGGATTTCCTAAACTCTTTTCTGACATGTTTCTAATGTTTCTATACGAAAATTTATGCGGATTATTTAAGGAAATTTATAAGGAAATTTATTCCTTATAAAGGAATAATGTAATCACACAATTTACAGACATTTCCAGCTTCAGTAGAATCATACGAAGCAAACTTATACTATACTTCTTCGATATTTTTATTATTATCTCTATGCGAAAAAAATTTTCAAAAAATAAAGAGATCAATCCTTATATATGTGTATTTCAAGTTTGGGAAATCCTGCGATATTATGTCACAAAATAGTATAGATATAGTATTAAAATACAATGTAAAATTATATTATAATGTATATAAAACTATGACTCTCGGCTAATTTTATTATTATTGAGTATTATTGAGTATTAACACATTATCCAGTAGACAAATAATCAATAAGGAAAGAACAATAAGCTTCAAATATTTTTCATGAATTTTCTTTACCAACTTACACTTTATAGTTAGCAACGGGTACAACATTAATAAGTTATGTAATAATGCCAGTATAAATAAAATACAAACATGCAGAGAATTTTTTTATTACATATATGCTAATACTAATATCTATACACGATGTGTATGTATGTACATACAAAAGTAAAATATTCGTGCTATTACACTATCAATGTTATTGTGTAATTTTATTATTGTTTAAAACATATATAATGGCCGATATTCGTAGTCAATTCTTATATTCAAGATCGTTTTAAGTATAGCCTTAACAAGTAATGAACCAATCAGAGGGTCATATTAACGTCTTAAGACATTACTTAAGACAGTCTTGAAATAAAAACCGACTATTAATACCGTCCAATGAATGCACAATAGAATTCCATAGAATGACACAATAGCGCATTCTTCGAAGACATAATGGAATCAGAATTTTTTAAGTCCACAGATAGTCTGAGATAATTGATATTAGTAGCATGACTAGTATAGATGCGTTCGGCAATGTAAAGAGATGCGAGTTAGCAGATGGTGAGCATGATCACGTGATCTTCGAGCAATCAGTGCCAAGAATTAATTCCGAACGATACAGAGCTGTAAACTGTCCTTGAAGATTAGATTATAAAATAAAATTATTTATTTTTATGAAATAAATAAAAAATACCTTATTAATTGAAAATTTCTTTCGCTTTACTAAAAACTGATAATAGTCTTATATACTAAATACTAAAAATAGATCGTTACACATGTAGCAGACTCATACGCTGTTTTTTTAAAAGAAAATACTACATTCCAAAATAAATTTTAGCAATTTTAAATTTATAAGTTATACCACTTGATTTATATTCGTTAGAATCTTTAATATATTAATACAATTTGATTTTATTTCATTCTATATGTGAAGCATAAGCTTTTTCTAAAAATTAACTAGCAAATTCTTTGTTTTCAAATATGTAATCTCAAATTCAGAAAAAGAAAAGAGGAAAAGAATTAAAATTACTTACTTTCCTCGTAAATATTGTACATAATGTACTCCATCAATTTTTATTTGATAACATTTGTTTGAGCGTTTATAGACTCAGACATTATAATAGTTCAAATACATTATTTATAAAATAGATCGAAGTATTAAAAGAGATGAATGTATGTGTTACCGAATCAATTGATTACATTATCATAAATATATAGATTATGAATTTAATTTAGGCGCGAAAATCTGCGTTAGCTCTGCGAGCTCAGTCTTTGAATCCGAGTGGATCGAGCAACTCAATTGGCTCTAGAAATGTTAATACCGAACGCAGATGAGATAACATGTAGCAGAAAGATGTGAGTTGCCGAACGACTTTCGAGATAAAAGAGCAAACAGACGATTTGCAATATCGAACGCACCGTATGACCTGTTTAGCAGCAAAAAAGATTGAATTTTGCTTGTAATATACATGGAGTTATCCAAAGTGCTTATCCAAGTGTTTTGGAACATATTACATTAATATTATCCTTAAAACGGAAACAAATAGCTTTTGAACACTTATTGGCCAAGTAAATCCTGAAACAGGGATCAAAATCAATAAAGAAATAAGAAGTTCTATATCTTTTAAGCTCAATAGACAATTTTTTGAAAAACTATCGACAATTTGTATTTTTACTTTACAGCATATCTTAATAATTATATTACTTTATAGTATATCAAACGGCATTTTAACTTTTCTAATATTTTTTTCTATTGTCACTGTAGGTGGAGAAGCAGACGACTAAGTGCCAAGTAAAATCAAGGTTATAGTAGACTAATTGTGTGAATTCTAAATTGCGTTAAAAAACTTTTCAGTATGACGCACGTAAATTCATTTATTCTGAGTACTTTGGAAAATGGAATTCAAAAAGTGGTGCTTAATAAACCCGCCAGAAAAAACGCACTTTCACTTCAAGTATGTATTATACATAAAGGATATTTGACAGCGTTAACCTTTTGTGGCAATTCCGTTTAGAATCACCTCCTTTTATAAAATGCTCGCACAGTTTTTATGAAATTTCAGCTAAAGAATAATATAACGATTTACTTCTAATAGTTTTTTTTTTTTTTCATTTAAAATTCGATATTTTCAGACAACATTCAACCTCAGAAATATCAAGTTTCACAATGATCAGATTATATTTTTGAAATTTGAATTCTAAGATCAGAATCGAATTTAACGAACTCGAAAACCTTTAAAAAACAAAAATCTTCTATAAGACTTCTTCTTAAGAAAATTCCGGTCTTCAAAGATAAAAATAATTTTATATGAATTTTCTATATCCGTTTTTTATAGATGTATAAGGAATTAAAAATGCTTTTAAATGAATCTGCTAAAAACAACAAAGTATTAATATTTGTATTGACAGCAAATGGAGATTTTTTTAGCAGTGGCAATGACATAACTGCCTCAATGGAATCTCTTTCGGTTTCTATTGATACAATTAAGTAAGTATTGTAAAAAAGAAACATGAAAAATTTATGCTTCTCTAAATATAGAAATTAAATTGACAAATATATTTTGCAGAGAATTAATTGATACTATCATTATGTATCCAAAGCTTTTAATAGCTGTTGTGAATGGACCAGCAATAGGAATAGCAACTACAATATTAGGAATTTTTGATATAGTTTATGCTTCAGATAAGGTGCTAATTCAATAATAATTCAATATGAAAATGTTTTAGATATTATATTAGGTGTACAACTTTGCTTCCGCCGTTTTCCTATAGATGGCTTTAGCGATAAGTGATCGAAATAAATAGATCATAGACGTCATACAATAAACTTGGGCATCTGTCAACCCCATAGAAACATTAGTCGATTTGTGTCTGCATCATAAAGTTATTCTCGATTGAAAATGTCAGTTTACGAAAAATTGCCAAATTCTCGTCATTTGCGGAAGGTTTTAATTTTTTGCTTCAATATGAAGAAATCTGCGGCTGAGGCTCATCAAATGTTCTCAAATACTTATGGTGAGGCCGTTATTAGTGAAAGAACGTGTCGTGAGTGGTTTCAACGCTTCAAGAACGGTGATTTTGACGTCCAAGGTCATGCTCTGTATGGTGGGACCAGCTCGGCGTAGTGTATTATGAACTGTTAAAATCGACTGAAACAATCACAGGCGATCGGTATCGAATGCAATTGATGCGTTTGAGCCGAGTATTGAAAGACAAACGGCCGCAATACAACGAGAGACACGATGAAGTGATTTTGCAACATGACAATGCTCGACCCCATGTTGCGAAAGTGGTCAAGACATACTTGGAAACGTTGAAATGGGAAGTTCTACCGCACCCGCCGTATTCTCCAGACGTTGCTCCCTCTGACTATCACGTGTTTCGATCAATGGCACACGGCCTGGCTGACCAGCACTTCCGATCTTATGAAGAAGTAAAAAATTGGATCGATTCGTGGATAGCCTCAAAAGATGACCAGTTTTTTCGACGCGGGATTCGTACGTTACCCGAAAGATGGGAGAAAGTAGTGGCCAGCGATGGACAATACTTTGAATCATAAATGTATAACCAGTTTTTTACAATAAAGCCTCGAATTTCGGAAAAAAAACGGCGGAAGCAAAGTTGTACACCTAATAACTAGACTGCGAATATTTAGGCAAAACACTTAACTGAATATTTTGCATAAATTGCATATTTATGACAATCTCAATTTTTTTACTTTACTTATTAATAACTCTTTAACGAACAACGATCGACTACTAAAATTGTCCGATGATTCAGTTAAGTATTTTGCATAAATATCCGCATCTAATTATAACTATGTTTATGTATTATATTAGGTGTGGGAAAAAGTTCGTGGCGTTTTTTTAATGCCATCTAACGGGAAAAACGCCACGAACTTTTTCCCACACCTAATATAATATAAATTACAGGCATATTTTCAAACACCATTCAGCTCTTTGGGTCTTATTGCTGAAGGATGTTCTTCGTATACATTCCCAAGATTACTGGGACATTCCAAAGTATGTTTTATTATAAAATATGTACAAGTTATTTTTAAGATTTGCGTCTAAAATTTTGCTTTTTGTAATATGAGATTTCGATATTACATTGTAAAAATATTTATTTAGGCTGGAGACATGTTGTATTTAGGGTACAAGATGAATGCTCAAGAAGCCAAACAACATGGTTTGGTTAGCCAAGTGTACAATCATGATTCTCTTGAAGAAGTATGGAATTATTTGAACAAAATATCGACACTTTCTTCACAGGTATTATTTTTGCTTAAGGTTTTCTACAAAAATTAATTTCTTTTGATATATATGTGCTATAATTGATATATATGTTAAATAATAGTAACAAAATTAATCGATTAATTTCAGTCAATATTGGCGACTAAGCGATTAGTGAGTAGATGGAACAAAGAAATTTTATTAAAAGTTAATGAGGAAGAAATGGAAGAGTTGAAAAAACTATTTGAATCTCCCGAGCTAATCCAAAGGCTGTTAAATTTTTTGTCACGAAAAAATAAGCTTTAACATACTTTATATTTTTTTAATAAACAACAAAAATTAAATTTAATATCTCAAATATTCACAATGTACATTATATATAAAATATAGTTTTATAATAACTAATTTCTTATAAAAATTAATTTTTTAATTTTTAATATTTTTATTTTTGATAAAAATTTATGACTCTAAAGATATGACACTTTAAAAAAAAAAGTAGTGCAATAGTCCGCGTTTTAAAAAAGATATTTATTCTGAAGAATAAAAGAGATCATTTTTATAAATAAAGAAATGTGAAATTATTGTATAA